TTCTTTGTGTCGTTGTTGTTCCTGCAGTGTTGATGGAGATGATCAGACTGGAGACCTGCAGCAGGATTCACTCCAACCAGAACATGATGAACTTCAGAGAGTTAAAGAGCAGCACAAAACCAGCATGAAGAACAAGTATGAGAGATTATTTGAGGGAATCAACCATGGAGAGACTCAAACCCTCCTGAACAGGATCTACACACAACTCTACATCATAGAAGGAGAGAGTGAAGGAGTGAATGAAGAACATGAGGTTTTACAGATGGAGAAAAGAGCCAGAACAAAACCCTCACAACACACTCCAGTCTACTGCAATGACATCTTTAAAGCCTCAGCTGGAGCAGGACATGAGGAGAAGATCAAGAAGGACAAAGCCCAGATCAAGACTGTTCTCACTAAAGGCATCGCTGGAATCGGGAAAACCGTCTCTGTGCAGAAGTTCATTCTGGACTGGGCTGAGGGAAAAGACCATCAGGATGTAGATTTCATGTTTGTGCTTCCATTTCGAGAGCTGAACTTGATCAGAGATCATCAGTACAGTCTTCACAGACTTCTGCTGGACTTTCATCCTAAACTTAAAGATCTGGAACCCAAGATTTATGAGCAGTGTAGAGTTGTGTTCATCTTTGATGGTCTGGATGAAAGCAGAATAACACTGAAGTTTTCAGATGAGGAGAAAGTTTGTGCTGTGACTGAATCTTCATCAGTGGCTGTGTTGATGTGGAGCCTCCTGAAAGGAGATCTGCTTCCCTCTGCTCTCATCTGGATCACCTCCAGACCAGCAGCAGCCCATCAGATCCCCTCCAGATACATCAACCGTTTGACAGAGATTCAGGGATTCACTGAGCCTCAGAAGGAGGAATATTTCAGGAAGAGAATCAGCGACGAGCATCAAGCCAGCAGAATCATCTCCCACATCAGAAGAGCAAGAAGCCTCCAGATCATGTGCCACATACCCGTCTTCTGCTGGATCTCCTCCACTGTGCTTCAGAAGCTCCTGGAAGAAGATGTGAGTGCAGAAATCCCTCAAACTCTGACTGAGATGTACATCCACTTCCTGCTGATTCAGATCAACATGAGGAAGCAGAAGTATGAAAAGAGAGATCCAAAGAATCTGCAGTCCAACAGAGGAGAGATCCTCAAACTTGCTGAAGTGGCTTTCAAACAGCTGATGAAGGGCAATGTGATGTTCTATGAGGAGGACCTGATTGAGAGCGGCATAGACGTCACTGACGCCTCAGTGTATTCTGGGATCTGCACTGAGATCTTCAAGGAGGAATCTGTGATTCATCAGAGGAAAGTCTACAGCTTCATCCATCTCAGCTTTCAGGAGTTTCTGGCTGCTTTCTTTGTGTTTTACTGCCATTTAACTCTGAACAGAGAGCCGCTGAGGGTGATTTATGACAGAGGATATTCATATGATCAATATCTACAGGCCAGCTCTGAGAAGTCTCTGTATAATCTGCTCAGTTCAGCAGTAGATAAAGCTGTCAGGAGTAGTAATGGTCATCTGGATCTGTTCCTGCGGTTCCTGCTGGGCGTCTCACTGGAGTCCAATCAGAGACTCTTCCAGGAACTGCTGACACACACAGAGAAGAGCTCAAAGAACATCAGGAGAACCACACAGTACATTACATACAAGATCAAGAGAGATAAACATCTCTTAGCTGAAAGATCCATCAATCTGTTCCTCTGTCTGCTGGAGGTGAAAGTTCAGACTCTGGCCAGAGAGATTCAGGAGTTTGTGAAATTAGACAAACACTCAGAGGAGAAACTCTCTCCTGCTCACTGCTCAACAATCTCCTACATGATTGAGATGTCAGAGGAGCCGCTGGATGAGTTAGACTCTAATAAATTCAACACATCAGATGAGGGAAAATGGAGACTGATACCAGCTGTGAGAAACTGCAGAAGAGCTCTGTGAGTATTCATTGATTGATCACAGAAGACACACATCAGTCTGCACTGAAGACTCAGATCAGTTTAGTGAATCACTGCCCTGCTTTAACAGAAAATCTTTAGCTGGCCATATCGTCCCCCTGTGAGATCGCTGATATACCATATTACTGCATGGGGACGCAGCGGCAGTGTTCTGTTTCCTTATTTGCTCATTTATTCCAGCATTTCTAAACGTATTTAACAAACTTTTCTTGACTTTTTACTCACACAAACAACATTTGTACTTATTTAATAATCTACTTCATTTGCTTTACATTTTATCCTGGAAAATAACTAAAATCCCTGTAAATCCCTGTGCTCCTCCAGCTGAATAGGACATTTGTTGATGTGTATTTGCTCAAATCTAACACAGTGTTGCTCTTGGATAATTGTGTTTGTTTTCTGATCAGAGAAATGGTGTAATTTTAGACAAAGTATTGCCGTCTCGCCGCAGACATGCCTCTAATATTACATTTACTGTAGGCCTAAACACTAAACTTCACACTGAGCTCAGTAAACTGCTCTCTGATTAGTTATTAATAATCTGTTCAATAATTCATTACAGTCACATGAATGGGGAAATACAGGTTTAGTTTATTTTAATGTAGTTTCAATAAATAAATAAACATAAAGAAGATATTTTCTTTCATAATGGTGGTATGAGGGCCTGATGTCCACAGGTGGGGGTTGCAGCCCTACACCATGGTACAACACCATGAGGTAGCCTGACTGCCATTAGGTACTGAGATGAGATCCTCAGAGCCCTTATGAGACCATATGCCGGTGTGGATGGCCCTGATTTCCTCCTAATGCAAGACAATGCTGGACCTCATGTGTCTGGAGTGTGTCAGCAATTCCTGCAATTCTCTACAGTTTTGAGTGTGACTCCAAATCCAGCCCTCCATGGGTTAATATATTTGATTTCCAGTGATCATGTCTGTGTGATTTTGTTGTCAGCACATTCAACTGTGTAAAGAGCAAAGTATTTAATAAGAATATTTCATTCATTCAGATCTAGGATGTGTTATTTTAGTGTTCCCTTTATTGTTTGAGCAGTATATATATATATAGTTTATTATCAGTGTTACTTTTATCACTGTAGACTGGACTCATGGACACTCAACACTGCTCATTTCTTACTGCTGATTTTGTTGCTCTTTGTCCTCTACACAGGCTACAGGGCTGTGAACTCACTGTTGAGTGCTGTGAGAGTTTGTCTTCAGCTCTACAATCCTCAAACTGTGTGCTGAGAGAGCTGGACCTAAGTAACAATGACCTGCCGGATTCAGGAGTGAAGCTTCTCTCTGATGGACTGAAGAGTCAACACTGGAAACTGGAAACTGGAGACACTGAGGTAAAATAAAAACATTTCCATCAAATAAATGCTGCCAAAAATGACTTTTCCATTGTGAAATGCTGTAAAGTCTCATGAGGTAATAAGCATATGCTGTGATGTATTTTATTTCTGTTTATTTATTGTGAATATTTCATATTTAATGTGAAGTCAAATATGAGAAACCCTGTTTATATCAGATATAATATTGCTCTTTAGAGTAATTTCTGCTGAAATGATCATTGATTGGTGTTCTTTGGTGTTTTTGGGGCGTCTCTAAATGAGCCTGTGTTTCTGCAGATGTTCAGCCCATCACTGAGTCTCTTTATTTACTGATGTTAATGTGTGTAAAGTTATATTCAGTCAGTTTTATATTCATTTCAGGAATATTATTGACTAATATGAAGATGTTAATGTGATTTATTTACAATACAGTTTGTAAAGTCATACTTTCTGTCTATTAATGTTATATGAGAGACTTGCTTTGCTTAACAAATATGAGGATCTGAATGGATTTGCAATGTAAACATTAAATAACAGTAAAAAAAAAACATTTTATTTTATACAATAAGTTTTAACTATGGTTGTTACTCTTTTAAATCATTCTGCATAAATCTGCACTTTTTTTTTTTTTTTTTTTTTTTTTTTACAAAAATCCGCTCAGAATAAATCTGTCTGGCCGACTCACTTGGTCCAGAGATCTTCTCTTTAAAAAAGTTTATGTAATAATAAAATACAAATGTTTGATCTTCCTCCATGTGACCATTAAAGCAACTTTAAATAGTTAAAGGAGTCTTTTCCTTTTCCCTATGAGGAGAAATAACTCCTCACGGGGGCATCAATAATTACATGCACACTCACACACAATAATACAGTGTCTTTTACTGTCCTCTACACAGGCTACAGAGCTGTAATCTCACTGTTCAGTGCTGTGAGAGTTTGTCTTCAGCTCTACAATCCTCAAACTGTGTGCTGAGAGAGCTGGACCTGAGTAACAATGACCTGCAGGATTCAGGAGTGAAGAAGCTCTCTGATGGACTGAAGAGTCCAAACTGTAAACTGGAGACAGTGAGGTAAATGATTCTCCACTCAACAACATTAAAAGTGTTTTGATTGAGATGGAAATGTCCAGATATATTTAAGAGCATTAGTGGAGAAACTGCAAAATGCTGCTTCTCAAATGAAAGTTGCTCTTTTTCTTAATCAGTTCCGGAAATCAGTGTATTTTAATGATTATTTTATTTAATTACCTCTAATATCTTTATTTATGTTTTATATTTTTAATGATTATATTTATAGTTTATCTTTGAATTGGTTTATTGGAGCAGGTTTGACAGGCTCTGATCATTTGCATTTTGCAGGTTCATGAATATATAAAGTCTCGTGGTCCTCTTATCTGAACCCAAATTTAACAGTTTTCTTACATTTCAAAATATTCAATAATATATTAGATGACATTTAATATTCAGTTTTATTAAATAACAATAGTCAATAATTCTAATTGACACAAATTCCAATAGTTTTGTCATATTTTTAACCTCATAGTTTGATTTTACATCAGATGCATGACTGAAATCACACTGTTAATGTAATCTGTGTTCTTCTTTCTCAGACTGGTCATGTGTAAACTCACTGTTCAGTGCTGTGAGAGTTTGTCTTCAGCTCTACAATCCTCAAACTGTGTCCTAAGAGAGCTGGACCTGAGTAACAATGACCTGCAGGATTCAGGAGTGAAGCTTCTCTCTGATGGACTGAAGAGTCAACACTGTAAACTGGAGACATTGAGGTCTGAGTTCAAACACCTGATTGATGCATGGATGGATTGATTATAATTATGTATTGCATTAAACAACTTACTAAAAATGAAACTGAAATTTTAGTTATCATTTATTTTTCTCAGATTGGCCATGTGTATTCTCACTGTTGAGTGCTGTGAGAGTTTGTCTTCCGCTCTACAATCCTTAAACTGTGTGCTGAGAGAGCTGGACCTGAGTAACAATGACCTGCAGGATTCAGGAGTGAAGAAGCTCTCTGATGGACTGAAAAGTCCAAACGGCAAACTAGAAACACTGAGGTCTGAGTTCAAACACCTGACTGACTGACTGATTAATTGATTGATTAAAATTATTATTTGCGTGGACTGAATGACAAAAAATACACTGTAAATTTGATTTGTTTTCTTATTTCTCAGATTTGTCACGTGTAACCTCACTACTGATTCTTGTGAGAGTTTGTCTTCAGTTCTACAATCCTCAAATTGTGTGCTGATAGAGCTGGACCTGAGTATCAATGACCTGCAGGATTCAGGAGTGAAGCTTCTATCTGATGGACTGAAGAGTGTGAACTGTAAACTGGAGACACTGAGGTAAATGATTCTATAATATAATATATTATAATATAATATAATATAATATAACAATAATGTCTACAACAGAGATAGTTTAATATTGGATTAAAAAATGTAGAGCTCCTTTCAGTGAATTGGCTGAAAAAAGACATTTACAGAGATGTGATTTTAATTCTTGCTTTACTAATGTATGTGTATAAAATATATTTAAAAACTTTACCGGATTTATTATAAAATGTTGCACTTTCAAAGGTTCTCTTTTTCCAGTATACCCAAATATGACTTAAAGTTAAAGAAATCAGTTTATTTTAAAGATAATTTTAATTGCCGCTGTTTTTATTAATGACTTTTTTATTAAGAAGAATAAAAATAAGATCCCTAATTAAATATTAAAGAGCTTTATACAAAAACATCCAGTGAGCTGTAAAGCAAACAATACTGCAAAGTGTAAAAGACTATATATGATATTTGAATCGGCAATAAAAGTAATTACCGCTGAATTATTTATAAATATTTTATATTATTAATTAAATTATTATTATTATTATAATTAAATATATTTATATCCGTTGTGCCCTGGTGAAGTTTAGACATGCTCTGCTGTTTGTTCAGTTTGCAGTTTCTTCTAAACTTATTAGGCCGCATTTACACTGCACTGTTCAAGTGACTCAATTCTGATTTTTTTCTCCAGTCATGTGGCACAGATGGGATATAGCCCATGTACGTGTAAGCAGAAAAAAATGACATTGATTCCCATTTACTCAAATCAGATTCAGGCCTTGTTCATATGTGGAAATGTATCCGATATGCATGGGATCTGTGTTCTTGTGTTCGCAGTGTAAGCAGGTAGATCTAATTTTTACCTGTCAATGCGAGTCACACGTCATTAAAATCTGCAGCGAATGATGTCAAGTCTGACGCTTTCATTTTAGAAGAGACTTTAGCAGAGTCCCAAACCTTAAATTTCATACACGAGGACTTACACAGCTTTCATATTGTCATATAGCACAGATATTTAAGTATGTTAACGAAAGCGAGAGAGTGCAGAGTCTGCCATGTAACCAATATAAACTAATGTAAAACTAGTGCATAAATCACATGCATAAATCACGCCATGGACATTACATTAAGATGACTAAAAGGTTTAAAAAAGCCGATATATCAAAAGAAGATGGACAAAGAGAAGCTTTCTGTCATAAACTATAATAAAACAGCTTGTCAAAAGCTGTGAACAGATTATATACAGGAATAGAAAAAAGAGCACTTAATTTTCAACTGTTAGTCAGCTCCCACTCTTTTTTTTTCCTGGTCATTGTGCCTTTGCCGTGTGCTGAATAAATCCAGACGATCGAATACGAGTCACTTTTAAAAGATGATGTAAGCGGCTTAGCAAAAAAAATCAGATACAGTCTCAAAACCAGAATTGACCATCAAGATCTGCAGTGTAAGTGCAGCCTTATGACACTCTTATTATTATCTAAATCGCTACAATATTATGAAGACACACTATAAGCATGTGTTCAGGAGTTTACTGTAAGAGACCTCGTGTATTTACTACACATGCATCTGAAAATAACCCTGATTACTCATTCACATGAAGCAATATATTGACTGAAGTTCTTCTGTCAGAAAGGCTGTGTGTGAAGGAGAGTCAGCGCTCATGATTATTGATCAGGTGTTTCTCAGCTGACAGAATAAAAGTCCCCTAATGCTCCATCTATGTGAATGTGACTGTCAGGCTTTTTATAAAGGTTCTAAACAAACTCCTAATTTGAATCAACAAATCGTCTTTATTTGTTGTGAACCTTGTGGATTGCAATGAACCTTGGGATCGCGGCTATAGACTGTAAAAAAATAGATTGCGACAACTTCTATGAATAATTTAATAATTAAAACACTTAAATCATGTGACGGGATGCAAAAGGAGGCAGCTTGATAGCGAGCTCTGCTTCAATTTGCTACTTTTATCCTGTTAACTATCTTGTACTTGTGAAAATTGCAACTATTTGGACATCTAAGTAATATTTGAACAAGATTATGTCAAAAAATTTGAAGTCCACAGTCTGTGGGGATATAAAAAAGCATTTGCGCTCATACACGACCGATGCTTCTCAGGATCAAGATGGCCAGGGCCTAACCTACCCCGATCCCATCACCGAGTCTCTTGATGGAAGCAATGACATCGCCAACATTTACACGATTCTCACAAAAATATCAAGTGATATGGACGGAATTGCGGAGATACAGAAAACTAACACCTCGGTGGAGGCTAAACTATCCGCCATCATTACAAGGTTAGATAAGGTTAAAAAACGAGTGGAGTTTTTGGAAGGGGCCGAGAAGGAGCTAAAAGCCAATCCACCTGCTACAAAGGTAGAGCTGGACCAGTTATGGGATAAAGTGGAAGACATGGAAAATCGGAGCAGACGCAACAATATCCGTATCGTCGAAATACCTGAAGGCAAAGAGGGCCAGGATATGGTGTGGTTTCTGGACGGCCTTATCCCGAATCTGATCGATCCGCTGGGCCGGCAACTGAAGTTAGAGCGTGCACATCGATCTCCCAGTCAACGTCCCAACCCAACAGATTTACCCTGGCCAATATTGGCCAATATTTGGGACTTTGTCTTACGTGCAGCGAGGATTAAAAGCAATTTGAACCTGGAAAACAACAATGTTATAGTTTTCCCGGATTTTGCAAGATCGACACAGCAGAAGAGACAACGTTTCAGGGAATGTAAAAAAAAATCTTCATACGAAGAAGGTGAGCTTCGCTCTACTTTACCCTCCTAAACTGAGAATCGAAGCAAAAGATGGTCGCAAGACTTTCTATGGCTATGGCTTTAAACTCTGATATTGACTTTTCTTCGGCCTCCCGCATGTCGAAAATGTGATATTTAATTTTCGCATAGGTATATGTGAGGGGAGCTGATTGATTTTCATTGGACATGATTTTTTGTAGTTGCAGAAGTGTTGCGGAACACCCCTTTAATGAGAGTCATGGACCACTGGATCATGGTGGGATGGACTTTAGATTATAATGCGCACTGTGTTTGAGTTAAAGCGCATTTATTTTTCATTGGGAAGGTGGGGGGGGACTTTAAGGTCATACTATTGCTTAAATTTGATTCAGAAAAAATGGGCCTAGCTACATTTGATTTTGTTATAAAGAATGTCACTTTTTGATTTAGGTCAATTATCTTTCTGTACTTGGAATGTGAATGGGTTGGGGCATCCTATTGTAACAGAAATTAGCTCATTTTATGAATATTAATAATCAACAACAACGGTTTATTCCTAATTATTAATATTCCGGCTTAAGCTTCAGTCAATTGGTTCAAACAAACATATGATTGTATATGATCCTGCCCACTCGACCGAGAAGACTCTTAGATTATGAATATTAATTATCAACAATACAAATTATTATTAATCATTAATATTCTGGATCAATTTATTGGTAATTTGACCAAACAAACACAAGCAGAGCCACCGCTCTTTCAAGCGGACACGGTAATGATCCATTCATTTAGAAAAAGGGAATTTAATTGCTACTTCTTGTGAAGTAGATTAATCATTCAAAAGTTTTAATCAACTTATAACAGCTAGGCAGGGGAATCTGTATTTCAGTGACATTTTCTTGTGAGGCAAACAATACAATTCATTTGATTATAATGGGATTTATTGACTAGTCAGACAGATAACGAACAAACAAACGCACGGACATACATTAAACATAGAACAAAGGTAAACCACGTGGAGATATCGGGTCTATAGAACGTGTAACAACAAAGAGAAATAGTAAAGTGCGGAAATATAGATTTCAGATAAAAGAGTGTCAAAACTTTCAGTTCCACACGCACCACTAAGAATCACCAAAATTATAAAAACCAAAACATCTTTTTTGATAAAAGGGGCACAGCTTAATCGCATAACTAAAAATACCTGGACTTTTATGTCTGGGGTCTCTCTCTTTATGCGAGTCTCTCTTCCGTCATGATGGAAACTCCTTTGATGTCCTTCTTGATGCGTTGAGTTTGTAATACAGTTCTGAGGAACGCGATCGCAAACGTTAAACTGAGTTTACTTTGCCGGAAAATAAGAAAAGCGTGGCGGGAAAAGTCCATGCTGCTTAGAAGAGCCGCTGGCCCCTAAAAGTGACCACCTTTTTCGAGAGTTCTTTGTCCGGACTTCTCTGCCCAGATGTTTGGGAGCAGTCTGGTTATACCTGCGGGTCACGTGACAACCCGTTTAGCATTCTTGACCAATGATTTCAGGGAAAAGTTTGAGAGCGAAGCCTTCCTTTGTCTCGAGGCTGTCCGTATGCAAATTTGAGTGTCCGCCTAAAGCATGCAGAGAGGCATTTAATGCAGGGAATTAAATAATGGTACAGTAGTGATTATGATCATACTATATACACATCATGTGTTGTAAAATGTCAGTAGAATCTCATCGGTAACAGACATGGACAGGTACATCAACAATGAAAGCACATCAAAAATACATCAACATAATTCCCACACATTTACATTATTTATGCTCTAAAAAGGCCTAAATCAGGGGTGTCAAGCTCAATTCCTGGAGGGGTTGTGCAGGTAGGAAAGGTCAGAGATGAGATACAAAGTTTGCAAACATAACATTTTAGTTCTGTGCTGGTCCCTGTTTTCTCAGTCGATTTCTCTTTGGACTAGTGTCCTTGTGGGTGTGGGGAGTTGAGTGTGTGTGTGTAAGAAAGGAATGTCTTTGAAGCATTCTGGCTTATCTCTCAAGGTGGCTCTGGAATACGTAAGGTGTCGCTGATACCCAGACTTTGTGGAGCCAGGAGTCGTAAAACCCACGCAAGATACTCCGTGATAAAATCAATAAGGCACCTACCCTTCTTCCTTTGTGAGCTGTACACCCACACCCTCTCCCCCTCTGTAAAGTGTCGCCCTTTGGTTTTCAAATCATAACTTCTGTTGAGTCCCTGCTTTCAGCAACTGT